TTCCCAGTGCCCTAAGAAACATCTCAACAGCCATCTCTGGTGGAAGAGGGCGGACAGGACAGCACTAGCCCCTGCTTCCTGTGCTGCAGGCTGCAGCTTTGTCAGATCCCTGCTCAGGAGAAACCATTAGTCCACGGCTTGTCTGATAGCCGGGACACACGTGGGGGTCTGTTCAAGGCATAAGCCAGAGGCAACACAGAACTGTAGTCTCGCCGGAGGAAGGAGATGGTAGCGAAGCAATGGCAGGCAGGCTGAGCTGATGACCATATGGCAATAAAAAAAAAGAAAGAAAAACGTCTTGACAGCAGATCTGTGTTAGCTGGCCAAATAAAGGAATGTAAATAATCTCTGTATGAACAACGCTGAGCATGTTTTTAATGTTATATGCTGACTTTAATGTTGGCGTTTGTCCCTGAATGGCCTCCCTTTCTACACAAACAGCAGTTAATCACAGAAAAGGCAGCCGTCTTTTTAACAGGCGCTGCGGCAGAGCAGGGGGAAATTGTGAGCTTATGGCGATTTCATTCATACCTTTATGTAACTGCCAGTGCCGCCGAGGGGCAGATGGGACGGATGGGGACGTGATTCTACTGCTGTGTATGTTGAGGTCTCATATGGTGTCCATACCGGCGGACAAGGCAGAGCTTCGCGTGCCAGACATGAGCAGCGTGAACGTGGACTAAGGCTCCTGCAAAATTCCGAGAAGGCCTCTCCACTGTTACTGTATTGTATAAAAACGCAGGAATCAGACTTCAGCGAGCAGATCTGTTTGCCAAATGTAGGAGGGGAAAGCTCGTCCCAGATACATTAGCAAGCAGGGATCCACAAGAAGCGATACTTCAGTACCGAGTTGATGCCAAACTTCAGAAAACGTGACTTAAATTTATTTCTAGATTAACAAAAGTAGCTGCTCGTCTATTTATCCCAAATCAACCATGAATAAACATAAAAAGTTAGTATTTGTATCATATGAAATCATTATTAAATATCATTCTACACTGATACGATAACAGATTTGGAGCAGACAGCATGCACCAGCCTGGACTCCTGTGATTTCTGAAAGCAGACCCGTATCAACTGGCGATCGCAGCACAAGAACCATTTATTTTAAGCCAACAGTTGACTTTCTGGCTATCCATTTGAACAAGATGCAGCCACACCAACGACTTCTTCGACATGGTGTGAATTAGTTTGGAGCTGACTCGGAGGAAACGTTCAGTAAACATTAATCATCTCAGACCGAGGAGTCTCCATTACGTTGGGTGAGTTCAGTGTTGTGAAAACACAGGAGTGTTCACAGCTAGTCTGCCGTCACAATAATGCATTTATCCTGGAAAGCCACTGATGTAGCGGTTTTCTACTTATGAAAGTAGAAACACCAGAAGCTGTCCAACCAATGAGACTTTAGTCGGATGAAAGCAGCATATCCACCAACCAAATGACCAACTGACCAACTGACCCACAGCGTGACTATTTTAAGGTGCAGCAGGTTATCCTGATTTGTGACATTAAATGTCATGTCGGAGTCGGAATCCAAGGCTGTCGGTATGTTAAGGTTATTTTTTATGGGTTCCGTTTGTTTTTCCTAAAAACCTGTCAGATGGCAAGGTTTTCAGATTGTTAGGGGTTTGATTATCGAGTCACGACTGTATTTGAGATTAAGGCTTTGGAAATATATAGATATCTTATAAACCTGACAACTAATTGGTTCATTGAAAACATACAGAGACAGTTTAATCAGCAATGAAAATAATTCTTAGCTGCAGCCCGACACTTGTGGTCCATTCATATAAACAAGTGTCACAATTCGTCCACATCTCTGTCGGTAAACAATCCAAAAGCTCTGTGCAACACGAGTCAAACTCATTTTCAATCTAAATGTACTTGTGCTGAATCTTCTTTAACCTCATCAGGGCTTCATATCAAATAAAAATGTTCCAAGCGCCTGCACGCGTTTCAAAAAAAGCATGCACGTAATTGTGATATGCGCCGTAGGTCACATATACAGAAAGTAAAACTATGCGCTGGAGCAACTGAGTGGAGCAGCGAGGAGCCCTGAGGAGCCCTGGACAGGCTGTTATCTCATCCAGGGAGATAGGAAGTATGGACAGGAAATCTAGAGGGAGGGGGAGGAGGGGGCCCATATGGGAAGTGCAGTGTAAACAGTCTCAGCTTTTAATCATCCCAGCTCACGTTCGGAACTGGACACACTTTGATGTTCTCCCTCAGCGCCCCCTCCGCCCTCCCATCCCTCGCTCCCAAACGGCCGCGCTGAGGGCCAGCCGGGGCGGAGGGGGGGAGGAGGGTGAGGCGGGGTGGGGTGGGGACATGCAGATAGCGGCCTCAGACAGCGGAGGCCTCTGGGAGAGAGGCGAGGAGGCATTCAGTACCTTGTGGGACACCGAGAAGGGAGACGAAGGAATGTCAAGTGGTGCAGAGTCAACTGGTGTTCAGTCAACGGCCGTGCCCGCCTTAATTACAGCCGATGTATTTGAGGCAGCTCTGAAAGGTCAACTCAACATTTCAGACACAAAAACACAATACGGAGAGGGAAGAAAAGAGAGTCAAGATGGCTTCAAGTGAAAATAGGTGGAGCTTTAATGATGTCCTTTATGTGTGTGCCTGAAGAGAGGATAAACTCCGACTCGCTCTCCCGACACAGACCTGAGGAAAGCTCAACAGCAGTCCTGTCGAGTTCAGAGTCGCCTCTGAAGCTTTTGGACTTCTTCTCTGCTCACTGAGCTTCCTCTTGGAAGGAAGAGAGAGTCAAAATTCCTCAGTACTTGTATTTGTCCAAATAGTGCTGGCCAGAGCCCAGCCAGTGTTCCAGTGAACGTGTTCATTCAGAGGACAGGGCATACTTCCAGGGAGATCACAGTTTAACAGATCAGAGGGAGATCCGTACCAAAGTAAAGTCTCATGACTCGGATACAGTGAAGAAAACTGGGAACTTCTTCAATCCCAAGCAGTCGGAGTTTGACCCACACATGTTAGTAAACATGATAAAACCAGGACTTTATCCTTTCATTTTACTCTTTAAAAAACCTCCGACTGCCAAAAGACCAGCAGTAAGTGCAGCTTATGAGCAGCAGTTGTCATGCATCAGCGTGGTCCCCAGTTAAACTGAGCTTATCTTCTGAAACTCCTCCAGCACACTCGCTACAAACCCACCGACGAGAATTTGTGTTTTTATCAAAGACAGACATCATCCAGAGGAGAAAGTGAGATCTGGGTTAGAACCCGGGCAGAGACAGAGTGAGGCAGAGAGTCTGTGTCACTGCCCAGCCTTCATCCCCCTCATCCACTGGAAGCCGGGAGCATAAAGCGGGACCATAGAGCCGCCTGCAGAGGCAGCGAAGACCTGTTGGAACAGGCCTAAGCTGCAACAAAGAGCATCCTGCAGCACAACACCACCTCTGTGCACTGTGAGAACCGCCTGGGAAGAGACAGCCTGACTAAACTACACCTTCCAAGCCTTGGACAGAACCACGGTGAGCGGTCCGACTAAAGGAAACCAGGAGGAGCGGACACAATCAGCGCTACACACTATTTAGACAGCAAAAAGAAGAAAAGAGAGAGATCCTATCAGGAGACAATCAGCCTGTCGCCATTTTGACTGTAGCAGAGATAAAAGTATAGGTTTGAATGTAGCAGGAGTGCACCTTCCTTCACGCCTGTAGGGAAATACACGTATCGCTTCCACATCCTTGATCAGGCCCCATCACTCTGCAAAACTGTGCAAAGGTTTTATGTGGAAAGAAAAAAATAAAGAAAGCTGGAAATCCCAGAAAGCTGGAAGTGCCTTTGATCTCTGCGATATGCATCCGTAACATGTTGTCAACATCCCACACAGACACATTAAAGTCAGATCAGCTTCAAGCAAGGAGAGAGGAAAACAGCAGTGGCTTTTCAAGGTGCCTAATGCTGGGCTTTCTCCGTCAAGAAGCCACACAAATCCTTATCAATTATGGCAAACTGCAGCATCTGGCTCGCCATTCACAAAACCTCCCACACCTGGTGAGTGAAGAGAGACAAGATCCTGCAGTGCCTCATATCTGTCGTCCTGTTTCTTTGGAGACGGTAAATAAATCGACACAGCCGAGCTTTATGGCCCAGGAGCCTTAATCCACCCCTGAATCCTAAATATGCACACTGAATAGATCACATACTTTACATTTGCAGGGTGAACGCGTGTTTTTCATCTAAAAAGAAAAAACCCCCCCATTGCTTAAATGATAGTTGTACATGGGCCTCGACATGATGTGCTGCGAGTGTTCAACAACCACACCTTGATACTGACTTGGTTGGAGGAGAAGTGGGAAGCCAAAAATAGTTCCTGCATAACAATGCTGACACCTTAGCAAAGAAAGATACACCTAGAAATGTTGGCAGCCGAAATCAAACCGCTGCTCTTCATGGGCGGGTAAAAATAGACCGAAAACAGAGTAACCTTAATAACACCTGTTTGTCATCACTATTGTTAAAAGAATTTAGATATTCTGTCATCACACGCTGGGTGCTGAGCGAGCAGCGGTGGACGGCAGCACACCATCCCTGCAGGAGTCTGATGAAGTGCAGGTGTCAGAACCTTGATCTGATTGTTTTTCAGGATAGAGGAAACACATGGCAGCAAATTCACTGATCCAATGAGTGCTTGATATGTGCATGCACTCCTTCTAATCATGCGGTCTCTCCATGTGGCACAGTCACACAGTTAAGAAGTAGAGCTCCTGAGGGGATTCCCAAGCATGACAGCACTTAATGTCATCACTGCTGTGCTATAGGAGGAGGTTTTAGTCTGGTAGTCCTGCTGGGATTGAATAGAGAGGGAGTGCATGTATGAGTGGCCTACAGATGTAAGAATTAAAGATTAAATACCCACATTTATACACATTGTCTGTGTGTTTCTGAGCAAGGCACCACCTTCCAAGCAGCTTTCAGGGTGCTGCTCAGTGAGGTGCACAGAGGTGGACTGTGTGTGCTGATCAGCGACACCTTACCTGCATGAGTTTTCCCTCCGCCTTGCCGGCACTCCCTCCCACGAACACCCCTTCCAACACGATGGGCTTCCCCGTCGGTTCGTGCTTCAGCAGTGTCACCTTGATGACCGCTCGGAGGGTCGGCCGCTCGGACTCCAGGCCCGGCTGGCCCAGCACCACCTGCAGGGCCGCCATGAGCAGCCACGGCCAGAGCCCGGCCAGGCGCCGCTGGGGGACGGTCATGGCCTCGGCTGTAGCGGCGGTGCCCGGCCGCACATGGTGGACTTCAAAGCAGGCAAGCACCGCGGAGAGACGGGAAATCTTTATATATGTACACAGATACACAGATTCTTCTTCTTCTCTGTTACAGCTCAACACATACAATCCAAACTTTTAAAGCTGGAGGGCTTCTTCCATCACAAGTCACGCGTGAACGTCCTGAAACTTCCATTCAGAGTCATTCAGGCTCGTCCCACAAATCCATCACACGGAGCCGCGTCCGTCCCAAGATAAAAGCTGGAGAACTTTTTATTATTTTTTTTATCCAGTGTCATTAATGTGTGTGCACGCAGCAGCGCACCGTGTTGTGTTACACGTCCCGGTGTGCATCCACCAGGCTGCTCCTCATCACAACCACTGTCCTCGCTTTGCGGCTGTATCCTCTCCCAGAAAGCGCAATCCTCACTGCGGGTTTTCAATGCGGTGCAACGGCAGTCACTTACAATCACATCTTGCTTTCAGAGCCCCGTCCCGGTTTGCGCCACATTTTCTGGATAAATCCACCGAGAGCGACGGCGTGAACTTCAAAGGCTGGGCTACAGGTTGCCGCCGCCGCGCAGCTACCAGGCATGCCGCCGGACGGAGGAGCGCAAAGTTGGCTAATTTTGTTTTTAACAGCCGAGGAGTTGCGAAAAAATAATCCTCGAAGAAGCCGTTAAATGCCTCTAATTAGTAACCGAACTCACTTTTGTCATGCAACTTGGGTCCCGAACCGAAGCGACTCCTGCGACGTTCACTTCTTAACTCGGTCCTCATTTAAACCTGCTCGGCTTTAAAAACACTCACACCAGGCTTCCCCCGAGTCCAGAGCCTCCGCTGCACTGGGAGAAATGAGAGCCGATCCTCCAGAGGACACCACGGGGGGAAAGAAAAGAAGAAAAAAAAAACTGTGTCGTTTATCAAAATTTATCAACGAGTTCGGAGAAGAAACGCTGCGAACAGTTCGGGATAAAAGTGGTCCAACCTCCACATGGTCTCCGCGTAAAGTCGCTAAAGTTGTCGAGACGCAGTGTTCGGTTGTGACACCGTCCCAAAAGTCTACCTCCCGGACTCTGTCGCTCCCCTGGGATCTCATTGACAGTCTCTACCTGCTCGCTGTCCTGCTGCCTTCACGGCCCAACGGAGATTGGAGAGTTATTTAAAAAAAACGTTACTTCCGAGCCACCAGATAAACTTATGAGAAGCGGGGATAAGAACGACCTATCATGTAATTAAATCTTACTACAGGCTTTATATGTTGTTGCTGCTATGCCACTTAAATGCAACTTAAAAGTCACAACTGGCGCGAACTATTTTTTAATATTCCGTCAATTTGCCCTCAGTAATTACCAGCTACATAATGCTTTTCTAACAAGCTTTGGTTTATCTACCAAAAGCACTTCAGATAAAAAATTTTAAAAGTTTAAAAAGTTAATAGTCGGAGTTTCCGAGTCGTCCCTGAAGGCAGCATTAGACACCGAGGGCGGAGCAGCAGCTCAGACCAAAAACAAGTGAGTGGCTCCATCTAGTGTCACATTACCGGTAAACTCCTTCAATAATAGCGCTGGTCAACACCTATTTAAGGTTTTGTGAGCTGATTTTGGACAATTGCAATGTGCTGAATCCAAATATTATATTGGTTTTGCTCAATGAAGTCAACATTTTGATTTGTCACCACATGCACTTTTTTACATTTCTGTGTACATGTGTGGGTATCTATGGTTTGTATCATACAAAATTCTTTTCTATTTCCTAAAAAGAAAAAAATCTGAAACTTTTACAAGTTGATGCTGTAGATATTTGCAGGTGAATTAAATTTACAAATTCATCAGCTCATCAGAGATCCAAAGTTTGAGAACTCCATGAAGGAAGTAGAACTTGAAGCGTGGAAGGCTTTTGTTCAGGTCGTGAAGAACTTTCTTGGCAACAACAAGGCAAGGTACTATGAAGAACTTGTCACCAATAGGCTGATTGCATTTAAAAACCTTGGGTGCAACATGAGCATCAAAATGCACGACCTGTTCTCACATATCGAATGGTTTCCTGAGAATCTTGGATCAGTGAGTGATGAGCAGGGTGGAGAGATTCCATCAGGACATGAAAGAGATGAATACAAAGGCTTTATGATGCTATGATGTGATGTTACAGAACAACTTGACAATGTATGTGCAATACCTACCAGATTTTGTACCATTGCTGTTGTTTAATAAAGTTTTGAGGGGAAAAAAACACAAAAAACATCCAGCTGCAAACTGTAATCCATTTTATTGATAATACTTCACACAAGTGTCCTAAAACATGTCAGTTACTTAAAAACAGCATAAAAAGGTTTGGAAATATCACCGCCTGTTAGTCACAACAATAAAGAAAACAATCCATACCACATTCATTACATTTTGATATATTAGATATTTTCTCTTCAGAAAAGATGGCAGATCTTCCTTTTACTGCAGTTTGCTCCAACGACAAACACCACCACTTTGTTATTGAAAATAAACTGTTCAAAATGTGCTCATTACAATACCATGAGATATAAACTTTAAATGGTTTAAAAACTATTCTTAAATTATGGAGGTAAAGCCTAACTTTTTATTTGAACATATATTGAAATAAGATTGAAAAAAACTAACAATAAATAATAAATAAAGTGGAAAACAAAGTTTGATCATAGGGAGAAGTTAAGATCACATCCTGGGGTGAATCAAGATTCCTTGTCATGTGGCAATTAAATCAACTGAGATCTACAAAATGAGAAATACGACCAGCTGTCAATAAAGATATCATTGTGATGACTTACAAGCAAACATTAAGACTTTTAAAGAACATATTTCCACAAGTATTACAGTGAATGCGCCCCTTAAAGGTGGAATGTGTGATTGTAATCCAATACACTCTTATTCAAATTCAGTGAATATCGCAACTAGCTGTCTACCACTCTGCAAAAAATAAAAAATAAAGGTGGTGTGCTCCTGCTCCATGGATAGAAAACAAAGAAAGAGAGCAGGAGGGAAATCGTAGAGACGGAGGACAGTGGGTACAAGAGGGATGCTACATCTGACACATCATAACTATCTAAATGTACCAACGGGCTAAATGTCAACCAGCTCCACTTTTAAATGTTCAATCATGTCTTACCTAAACACCTGGCGTTCTTCCTGTGCTGCTGCTGCTGCTGCTATCATCCTGACTGGCATCTACGACTGTGTCTGTCCCAACACTTACGACCTCAGTCTCCTTTGCATGATCAGAGCACAGAGGAAGACCACAGCAAATCAATTACAGGTCTTCTGTTAGGCTATACACGTTATAGCAAAAATATTGGTTATTTGCCAGTATTCTGTATTTGTCCAATCATTTTGGCTGACTGCAGATATTTTTGCCACCTAATTGCAGAGATCATCAAGTGTCTCCTGTAGTCATATCGTGCAGACATAAAGTACAATGCTTTTCATGCTGGTATCATTGTGAATCCCTGCTACTATGCATAACAATACACATCATGAATGAGAATATTTCTGTATGCAAACTGCTAAATTTTCCTGGCAAAGGTTCTCCACTTTGTTAAAGACAAAGCCTTCAGGAAATCTACACTGCATATGCTTACCTCATAGACAACATCCTTGGGCATTTGCTTAGGGACTGAAACCACAGACTCCTCATGCTGTTTGTAAGTAGTTAGATCAGGATAGTTTGGCACAGACTTGAGAACAGGCACAGCGCGGAGAGGACTTGGTTTCGTGGTGCTGCCACTGTTCTTGGCTTTACAGGTGTTGGAGGAAGGCTCGAACTCAGAGGCTGGCTTCTCTGGAGTCTCAACTTTAACCAGGCAGTTACTGGGTGGAGTTTGCATCACCTCATCTGCCATCTGGAAAATTGCATCCAAGCTAGTGTCACCTTTTTTCACCTTCTGGTTTTCATTATTCTCAAAGTCCTGGTAACGGGCCCCATGACAGACCATATTCACGGGAGGTCTTGCCTAAAACAGTGAAATAAAAGCTTGTTTCAGACACAGAACATGTTAAAATACTCATCTTCCTCAACCAATCATTGCTTTGATATAAAAAAAAAGTCACAGATCACATGAAAAGAGTGAATAAATCAAAGATCACCAACCTGATAATAACCTTGAGGGGGAAGCATCCCTCTTCGAAAGTTGCCTGCCATATGTGGACTCACAGGTTTTGGATAGTAGCAATGGAAAGCTTCAGGAAGGACAGATATAATATTTTGAAATATTAAGTAAAGGGTTTGGGCCTCCTGTTGAAGTTAAAACCTAATTTTTGCTTCATACTTCATAAATACTGTTTATTAAACATACATATCCAACAAAAAAAAAAAAAACACTTAAGTACATTCCAAATACATTCTTGCCATAGGAGTTGTGTCTTCTGATGTATATTTGAGGTAAAGTGATAGAACAAACAGGGTTTCTAACTTGTTGTACCTCGAATGATGCCATGCTCACCTGGAGAACAGAAGTCAGGTTGATATGGGACACTATGGGGACTATAACCAGCGAAATGTGGATTTCCTTGGTTTGCGCGGGGCTGAACGTTCACAGCATTTGGGCTCGGTGTCCCCCCAGCATCTGGGTGGCTCAAACATGCTGGTGTCTCTTTGTCAGCAGGAGAAAGAGCTGCACCGAGACCCCTCATCAGGTACCAAGGTGGGACCGGGGTTCCATTGAGGGCTTTCCTCGGATAGTAAGGATGAGCTGACTCCAGACGTGCAGGGCTCGGCCATGAACGGACTCCTGCAGAAACAGCAGAAAACAAGGCAGGGCCTGTTAGAGCAGGACGGAGGAAGTCAAACTATAATTAGGCTGAAATGGAAAGTGGGATTTGAAGATCATTTTTGGTGCTTGAAAGGTGAAATAAATAGTTTCTTTTGATGTGATTATGTACTGTAGCACCACAGGGACACTTATGTGATCGGTGTTACTGTAGGTCTTTACTGTCATGACTGCCTTTATTATTATTGATCTGAAGTGATCCGGTGGCATCAGCCTCCTGTCACAGTACCTTTGCCATCACTGCACCCCCTCGAAAGCTGGTACCGACTGGGAGGCCGACAGTTCACGTTCAGACCGGCCTGGAGTTTGGCCTTATTATCGCTGGTGAGCCTGATCAGACTCGCAACAAGCTCCGGGTGGTTCCGCTTAAAGTTTGCGTTGAAGAAATGATGAACGGTCGAGTTGACCGGCTTAGGTTGGCTCACATCTGGGTCGACTTTTTTGAAGCCGTACAGGTTGAGCTGACGGACGAAGCTTGAGAAGTTGGTCGTTTTGAAGGCGTCGGGGCTGCTCGGAGACAAGCTGCCGGGACGCAGGATCTGTTGCTCGAAGAGCTGCTGGTGAATGACGACGACCTCTCCGGCACCGTCCCAGCAGATGGAGTCGTTCGCCGGGTTGTTCACCAAGCGCCACAGTTTGGCAGTGAAGTTATTTGGGTTGATGCTGAGAGGAAGTGAATAATCACAGGCATCCATGGCTTTATCAGCACAACTGGAAACAGAAGTAATGTTAATGAGCCTCATCTGAGGTCAAAGGTCAACAGTTAGCTAACCTAGCCACCTTAACGTCTTTACCGTTATAAAGCAGCTAACGGAGCTAAGATTTCACATTTAAATCAACGCAAAGTGGTTAAAAAAGAAACTCAAATGCATATTATTACAAAGTTATAGCAAACTATTAAACAAGTAACGAAAATGTTGTTAAATGGTGTAAATGTTTTTGCTAACTTTAACTAGCAACTAGCATTAGCTAAACTTAGCATCGGGCTAGTGTTAGCCGGTGAACATTGGCTCACGTTACGGTTTAACATGGTTGTTTTTTGTTTGTTTGTTTTGTTTTTAGCGCAGAAACGTTTGTTAGAGTCGCATCAAATTGTTTCTAAAATACACTGTATATTTAAGTCCTACCACATTGCTACCTGTACCTGGATCTCCAAAGCGGACTCTCCTGGTCTCATTCAGAACCGTTGGAACTTCCCGAACCGTTGGAGCTGTTCGTGTTCTAACGGCGGCACGGGACTGACTCCGGATCCAACCGTCGCGATTCTGTCTCATCCTCCATCGTGAGCAGCTTCTCAACTGACGCTGGTTTGTTTGTCTGCTTGATCAAGGCAGAAGTACTGGAGTCCAAAGGATGGTGCCAGTTAGCAGAACTCCACCAAAGTTCAACTCCAGCATCCAGCTGAGCTTCTAGGATTGCATTTAAAGTACAAGTGCTGTTAATGTCGAAAGGGTTTTTATTTATTAGGAGGTTGCAACTGACCCTTTGAATAAATGTTTTTAATCTGTAAAGTGATAATCAGACAAATATCTATAAAAAGTAGGCTACAGTGTTTCATTGTTGTATATAGTCAATGTTTATAGTAACTTAAAATACACAAAAAAAATCTCATCTGTAATACAGGAAGACTGCCTGAGTTTGACTGTTTCCATTCCTTGTAATGTTTATCTGCCATTTCTTTACCTAAATATTTATGAAAAATAAATCTTTTTGTCTCATAAATCTGTTTTTGATATCGATATGTAATGTAGAGACAGACACAAGCAGTGACTGGTCTGTTCCATTTATTTGTCCCAGTGAGCTACTGTGGCCCTGATATTAAGAGTCAGAGTTTTAAAAGAAAATCCAGAAACTGGGGAAAAATAAATAAATAAAATTGGAATATTGTGAATATGTTCATGATAATCGAATGGTAATGGAGCAGTAATAACAGCTTAAAAGTAAGTGTTAGTTATAAATGTCTGATTCAAAGGGAGGAGACCAAAAACTGCAGAAAGCAGCTCATTGTTTGATTTGTGTGTCTTTACAAGGAAAACAGCAAAGTGCAGATTAAAGGGTTGTATTAGAAAGATCATTTTTCTTGCAACATCATCAATCCATGAAAATAAAAAGCAATAAGTACTGAAATGAAATTGACCTAGCAAAAGGCCAGCGTTGAGCCGAAACCTCAAATTGCTCAAATCTGTCTTGGATTAAAATTACAGACATCACAGGGTAAGGCTCTGTAATGGTCTCTATGTCCATCCACCTGTAGCCTGTCCTTGCTTTTGTATTTAAATATTTACTATGCATTTTAAAAGTTTTCTCCTTTCTCCATACCCAACACGTGGATTAAATCAATGAATTAATGGCCCAATATATATAAATTATTGCTCAGTAAATTCATGACAAATTTCTGGACAAAGTGGCAGAAATACACTCATGATCCCTGCGACTGAGCTCAGTGTGTCGTGATAGAGAATTTCATTCAGGCGCTCAGCAGGGACGCCACTTTACGGGTCCTTTGTTAGGGCCTCACATGGTGACGCAATATTCCAGCGACTGGAAAATATTAAAAACATTAGTCGGTTTGATTGCTTGGTGTTTCCGCAGTATCTTCTGTAGGATAACAACATTATGGCATTAGAGACGGTCCCAAAAGACCTTCGCCACCTGCGAGCGTGTCTTCTCTGTTCTCTAGTGAAGGTAAACCTTAATTTACGACAAAGAAACTCTCACGCTAGCCTTTGTGCTAACGTGTAGCCGCGCATTCTGCGTAGCATTTTCCTCCTGTTTTGTCTCACGCGTGAATTAAGCTCTTTCGTGGGGACTTCAATTCAACAAATAACTGAAATATCTACTGGACCCGTTGTGTACTTGTTCACAATTAGACACTTGATCTTGTTTCTTCGTCTTGGTTCTTTCTTTTACGTTTGTGTGTCGCATTTATGTTGAATTTAGCAGGTGATCATGTTGTCTGGTGATGTGTGTTCACAGCTCAGCAAACTGAACCTCAGATGTTTACAGTCACAGATTGGTCACATCCAGGAAAACTAACGGCAGAATGTCAGAACGTTAAAATTACAGAGGTTCAGTCCTTATTGTCATAGCCTTTCTTATTAAACGGTATGGATCTTTAGCGAGAATTAAAAAAAAAAAAAAAAAGTAATTACATGTGTCAATCTATTTGCTCAAAAGGACGCCTAGTGTAGCTGTAAACACGAGGTCTGTTATGAAATGTGAACTACCGAGTAGGTTTTTAATGTTTTTGTGCCACGGATAGTTCTCAAGTTGGACACTAAAATATTACTGTTTGGCAATTTTAGTCAAGATCGATTAAGAACATGTTGAAAATCGAGATTCAATTCTGTCTAAATAGATATAAAAATCTGTGCATTGCCATTAACATCAGTGGTTGAGGAGGTGTCCATTAGGAGATGGGCAGATGGTGGTTGGAGCAAAGTAGTTATTTGTTTTTGAGATGGTGCCAGCTGTTTATCACCTGACCTGTTAACATGTTTCCTGGTTGGCAACAGAACAGCTGACACACTGAACAAGATGTTTGTGGCTAAATCATGGCGAGGAAGGCACAGAATATTTTGTTTTACTGTCTGTAGATGCTTTGATACTAATATGCAGTTTCCACTAAGTGCTGCTGTTGAAGTTATTCCAGAAGGATCTTTATCTCGTCTCACTTCACAAACACACAGTTTGGCCTGTTGTTTGGGAAAATTTAGAATCTGTGAACAGCATCATCTGCAGCACAAGAAGAGAAATATGAAGAAACCTCATCTTACAACGTGGTGATGAGTTAGACTGGAAACCAGTTAAACCAAATTCAATACATTTTATACTAATTTACATGTGATCAGCTGATTTGCATTAGAAATAGTCTTAGTACACTCAGGTAAATTATATGAGAAGCAACCCAGCGTGAGAAATACTTTCTATCTTACCTGACTGACTTTATTCTCCCGGATTCATCTCATCTCACCCGTCTCCACTTTGCCTTCTTCAGACCATCGACCAGTTTGAATACGACGGTTGCGACAACTGCGAGTCGTACCTCCAGATGAAGGGAAACAGAGAGATGGTTTATGAATGCACAAGTTCCTCGTTTGATGGGTAAATACTGATTCAGCATTAATTGTGTCTTCATGTTTTTCTGTAGATATTATTGACTGTTTACCATTGCTGTCTGTGTGTTTACAGCGTTATAGCCATGATGAGTCCTGAAGACAGCTGGGTGGCTAAATGGCAGAGAATAGGTGAGGAGCTGAACACAGAAAACAATTAGTTGAAAGAGACTAAAGTTTGGTCCTAACTGCCTGTTAGTTCATCATTTAATATTAATCCAATAAGGACTGAAAAAAAATGTGTGTAGAAGAAGAATATTTTTAAAATCTGTGCAGCTTTAACATTGGTTTAACCAACCTTAATCATTGTCCTTTTCACTGTTTTTTTTTTTTTTTTTTTCAAATATTGTGACGAATAATCAAAGGGGCAAAGTAACTAAATGTATTTTTCAATTTCTGTACAAAAGTTTGAGGTACTTTAACTCCAACACAGTTCAGGGGAAACTACTAAATATAATCAATAAATAGGGCTTTTACGTGTACTTTTTTTTTTTATTTATTTATTTTTTTACAGTTTTCCATGCTGGAGTATTACTAGTTTTACTTAGGCACAAGGTCTGAGTACAGTTGTGACTCGATAATCTGACCCTTAACAATCTGAAAATGTCTGTCTGTGTTAAAAAAGAAGGTTTTACGTTTAGTGTCGGATTATCGAAGTCACGACTGTATTTCTTCCACTGTTTCAAGAAACTGTCAGGTTTAATTATTTCATGAGTCACTAAACGTGGGTGTATTTTTTGCTCCATCCTGCAGGTAACTTCAAGCCAGGTGTATATGCAGTGTCAGTGACGGGTCGACTACCTCCAGGTACACTTGTTTATAGAAAGACACACACTTTGATTTTAGCTCTTTCTTTACCAGGTGCTGAGGTTACTTGACTTACTCGCTGTTTACTTGACTCATTATTTCCTCCTTCTCTGTAGGTGTGGTGAGAGAGCTGAAAAGCAGAGGTGTGATCTACAAATCCAGAGACACAGCAGTGAAGACATAACTGCCTGTCCCCAGAGCCGGACCACACTGCAGCACCAACGCTGGGATGTCTTTGTTTATTTGATGTTCTTTCTTCTTTTTTTTTTTTCTTTTCTTTTTGTTTTTTAATGTGATATGAAATGTTAGCATGGGTGATTAGAAAAAAGAAAATGTGGATCTTTGGTATTCCTTTGACTAACAGAAAATAAAGGTTTTATAAGATATTTGGGTCACTGTCAAAAAGCTGTTAAGGTGGAATTTTTATGTGAGCTGCAAAAACAATGAACATTCAGCGTCCCTGAGCGAGGGACGAGCCTGATCATGTCTGCACAAGAGACGTACAACAGTGGAGTCATTAGGAAAAGAGCAGCTCTTACTTCATTTACAAATATATAACCGCGACGTGGCTCTGGGGATGGCAGCGCTGCTTAGTGTTAGCAACGGAAAGGATCAAGGAAGTGTAGTAACATTCATGGTCCCAGATGTGAACCCTGCTGATTTTGGTCATCCCCTGACTTTTCCTGTAGCGTCTCCATGAGGTTGACATCTGTGGTTCTGAGTAAAGCTACCATATGGGTTACTGTTAAGTTAGATTTAGACATTCCTATCCCCTTTAAGATGAACTGTGATCAGTGCTGGTCCAAAACTATCAGTTATCTGAAGCCAAGAAAAGTGGAACAAACTTACAGATCCTACCCTGAATCATCCACTCTGTAGTGGTGCTGCCCATGGTTACGTACAGACAGGCCTGTGCTTTGGTGTAAAAGTCACTTCTTCATTTAACTTCAGAACCAAATGCAGCGCTCCTCGCACCCATTTAACTGTACAACTGAATTTCAATTATGCACAAAAACAACTGTTCTGCAAAAAGTGAGAGTCAACAGAATCTCTGGGGAGCTTAAACTCTGAAACAATGCATGCTGGGAAGTCTACTGATGTGTTTGTTTGTTTAATACTCTGAGCCCTTTATTTCAAATTAAAACTTAAGGTAACAGTTCATGTCTACAAGGTCTGAAAAGTCATCCATCCATTGTCTATACACCGCTTAATCCTCACTAGAGTCGTGGGGGGCTGGAGTCTATCCCAGCTGACTCAGGGTGAAGGCAGGTTCACCTGGACAGGTAACCAGTCTATCACAGGGCTACACTTAGAGACTCACATTCACACCTACGGACAATTTAGAATCACCAATTAACCTCAACATTTTTGGACATTTTGGTTTTGGAGAACCCGGAGAGAACCCACGCTGCACGGGGAGAACATGCAAACTCCACACATAAAGATCCTGGGTGTCCACACCGGGACGCGAACTGGCGACCTTCCTGCTGCAAGGCTAACCACCACTAACCACCAAGCCACCTTGCAGCCCTCTGAAAAGTCATTTAAAATTAAATTACCTTAAATTTAATGAAGCTTTTACATTTACAGTGCAAATAAAGATTTCAAAACTAAACTTCCTGTGATCTTCATCTATGGGCAGTGTTACCAGTTTACCTCCATTCCACAGAAGCATGATGAGCATCGTGATGTTTTCTGAACCAAATACGTTTCAGTAGCAAAGTTCTGTTTCTGATCAAGTTGTCGGCAGGTACAAGTTTCACATACATGCAACAACAACAAATTAAGAATTTGTACGTGATGCCACCAAAGACAAAAAGCTCCTTAAACATGTCACTGAGTTGTTGGACCACCTGTTGCTCTTTTATTCTCATTACACTTGACATAATTAGAATAATCTACACTCATATGCATCACCACAGAACGGTGCTCAGGTTCACGGGCCTCAGAGATCATCACATCATATCTAACTGGACAGACTGTTCCAGAAACACTCCTGTACTTGTTTAACTGCACCACTAGATGGGGCTTTCTACTGAGTTCCAGCGAACACGGTCGATGGGGGGGAACCATAAAGCAGCCCGTTAGTGTGTAAATCTGGTTTCTCACCTGCAGTGTGTCACACTACGATAATACGACAGACTTTCCAGCTCCAGTCATTTCTGTGGTTACTGTTTCACTGCACAAAGGCCGGGACAGAAAAACAGCTCAGGTTCACAGGTTGTTGTTGTCACGGCGTGTTGCTGTGTGTATCAGGTAGCGTGCAGGTGTCTATTGTTGGGTTGTGTTACAGTTAAGGAGCCATATTTAATGCCAGAGGGTCCCTGCATTGTGTGACTTCAGAGCAACCTGAAGGATGGTGGTCACGCACACTGAGGACGCTAAAATCTGTGAAGGTTGTCTTCTGTTGCTATAGTCTGACTTCACTGCACTGGAACCTGCTGCTGTTCTGCTGCAAAGGCCCCGTTAGTGAAGCCACCAGCAGGTCACGACTAATGAAGAATTAACAGTAGAAATAAAGATAATGACCACTTATTGCTTGCTGGAAATTTGAAATGAACTTGAGGTGGAAATGGCACAAAAAAAGAGATTTGATATGCAGCAGAGTCGTCCCAGTTTCGTGCATCCAGGAACGTTTCTCACTTTCTGGTCAGATAACAATGGCTGCTGGAGGGAGGTATAGGAGGAAGAGATGGGAGGACAAAGAGCACATGCCATGACCTGAATAAATGAAACACTGAACCACAAGGAAAAAACTTCTGTGTTGAGTAATGTGAACATATCAGAAGGAAACGTCTTTATTCTTCATGATTCCTAATGACGCAGATAGACGTGGCCTGTATGGATTTAGGTCAAACTGCAGTTTAAGAGCAACAGCTACACATTATTTCACATCCTCTACCTGCACTGGTGGCTGCTTTAGGTAAATAGACGCATCAACATCACCACAGACAAATATTTCACTGCAAGAAGAATCCATTTAAATTATGTGTGACTTTAACACAGTTTCATCTACGTATTGAAGTCAGTGATCACATGTCTGCCAGAGTCTCATCTGAAACTTCTAACTAAAACATTTTACAGAGCCGAGTTAGTCTTGTGATGCTACAGTGCAGATTATAACTGTTATTAGACGAGGACACTTGAGAACAACATTTGCGGCTACTCGTTTTTTTCCCACTCTGCTGCTACGTTGAGGTCAGAGGTCGACCACCAACCAGCAGCTGCTGGTGCTTCATGCTTCACCACATTTTTAATCTTGGTTTTATTGCTCTTGTTTTCTACTTTTAATTGCCTGATTTCTTTGTAACCCTTCGCTCTGCTGCTGCTGTCTTTACGTTTCCTGCAGTAGAAACGTCTCTGTAATGCTGATATGTTTGTTTTTTAGTAAAAGGCGGACTGAGCAGCTGTTTTGTTGATGTGGGAGACATTTATACGTGATGCACACTGATGAGCCACAACATTAAAACCACCTCTTGTGAACAGCTGTGAGCCTCTGAGGGCGTCCTGTGGCGTCTGAACGGGGGACAGCGGGGTCTCGGGCGTGAGGTGGAGCCTCGTTTGGTGCTCCATCAGATTTGGGGAGTTTGGAGAACGAGTCACCACCTTGAACTCCGTGGAGACCACGCTGTCCTGCTGCCAGAATCTGATCTGTAGCAGCAGAACACACGATGATTAATCTCATTCACCTTACGTGTCAGTGGTTTTGATGTTGTGGCTGATTGGTGTGAATTATTCCAGGACAAACCCAGTATTAAAATGACCCCAAATACCAGGTTTCCGTGGTAACACTGACCCGGTGTTTGTCACGTTTTCCCACCATGTGCGCTGCCTCATGAAGACTCTGCTGTAAATCTACTTTTACGGTGATAATTGTGTTTGTCACTGAGGACAGTGCAGGGAGTGAAAACATGTTTCTGATATTTTGGCCGCCTCATGCACGGCAACGGGTTGTACAAAATATTAGGAACAATTAAATGTAGTCGATGACAGCATGACCTCAGTGATAAACACGGTGAGGAGGTGAGCAGCGTTAACCCCGTTTCACAGTGAAAACATGTGGATGCTTCAGAAAAACAGAATTTAGATCAGAGCTGTTGTTACGCTAGAATTCTACAGGTGTTCCTAATAAACTGGCCTGTGAGTGTGTGTGTGGTATGTAAAGCTGCTTTAAAAAAAAAAAAAAAAAAAAGTTAATTAAAGTAACAGTAGCAGTAGAAAAGTCACAGGAAAAAAAATTCATTTTAAAGTAAAATAAATAAAAAACAAACAAAAACAGACCAAAACTGTAAATAATGCCCATAATTAAAATTTGTATTTTTACAAACAGTAATTTGTTCTTTAACAATGTATAACTGTAAAGATAAAGTTAGTTTTACTGTATTTAACAATCTCAAATATTTGACTACAGACATTTGCTGATATTTTTTCTTTACTACTTTTACAGTTTTTGAACATGACCAAAAAACTTTACTCTTTTTGCTGTATTAAAAAATAGCAGAAATTCTTATTATTTTACAAATATTTGCTGTTATTTGGATATATATGTATAAATATATATAAAATATTTTTTAAAAAATATAGATATATAAAATATATATAAAAAGGGATTGCAAAATTGTTAAGATTTTTTTTTTTAAACAAAATCTTTATTTTACAAATATTCATGTTCTTTTACTAAATGTGAGTTTGACTGTATTAAATCAGCTAAAAATATAATTATTTTACAATTATTTTATGTTTCAATGTTATCTAACATTTTTTCTGGCACCTTTCCTGCTAGATTTTACTTTTTTTTTCATAAGGGATTTATTTTTACAGCGTGTCTACATATGAATGTATTATTAGTGCTGTGAGCAGTTGAAGCAGCAGTGTGTGAAACTTCACTATAAGTATAAATGGATTCTCAGCTTGGCCCAAAAACATTCAGTCACTGTTTCATTTGTCAGCGACCTGCAGGTCAGATATTTCTGCAGAGCGAAAACAAGACCTATGAACCCTATCCAGGACTTTTGGGGTCTTTTGGACCCCAGGTCATTTGGTTTAGGCAGCAGGTATTGATTTTTTTTTTATTTTTGAAGATTTTTTTTTAAATATAAAAAGAGAAAATACGTCAACTTATCTGAACGTGTGTTTAACATAGTATGAAGGTCTATAATGAATACTAACAAATATTTCACACATATTCTTTCTTGGGGTCCAATGAATCCCGACAGACCTTCAACGTCTGGCAACATGAAAGTCCTGAACAGGGATAAAACACTATCTGTGACAGGAAGAAGCCCAGAACATCAGCTCTACTCTTTTATTTTTCAAATCCCTGCTTTAATCTCCTCTCTCAAAAAGTGACCAGAAAAAAACAGAAATCAAAAAATGTCTATTATTCAAATGCTCAGAATGATAAA